GCGTGTGCGTGTGTGTGTGTGTGTGCGCGCGTGTAAGCAAGCATGGATTCTTATTTCTATAAATCCAGTAAACACAGGAAAGGGTCACTGGATTCCAGCTTTTCTCTTTGTCTAAGCTAGTTCTGTTGTGGCCGCTTCTTGACCCTGGGGCCTCCGGCCAGCTCCCATCCCTCCTCGCTCCCTGCTTGCTCGCAGCCTGGTGCTCTCAGGAGGATGTCCCTGCCCCTTGGTCCAGGAGAGGACCCAGGAGTCCGAACAGCTCATCTCTTCTCGGGGACACACAGCAGAATGGACCGTTGAGCCTTTCCCGCCTGTTCCCTGCCCCGGTCGCTCTGGGCCTCCGCACAGCCCTGGCTTCTCGGTGAGGGTGAGGCGTGCCGGGGCCTGGTGGGGTGGGAGGGCAGGCTCCAGGCGGCAGCGCTTCTTCCTTTGAGAACATCCCTCCTCTCTCTCCGCGGAGGAGTGTGCGCACCTGCTGCAGACAGCCCGGCCTCCGGGGAGGAGCCAGCGCGGGCTTGGCTTCCGGAGGCATCGGCTCTCACTCACGGGCTTGAGAGCCGCAGTCACCAGCCACCCTTTGGGCCGCACGGGCACCAGCGGTCTGCGGGGCACCGGCTGGCGACCGCGGCTCTGAGAACAGGCTCCATGGCGTTGTCCTGGCGGCCTGTGCCGGGACGTGAGGGTCCGCAGCTGTGTCCTGCAATCGCTTTAAAGACCAGAACCACCGCTCAGCCCGGTGTGGTCTCTCCTGATGGATGCCTGACCGCCCATTGGGTTCTTTTTCTGCCAGTGATTTTGCTATTTTGACCTTGGATTAAATCAGAGAGTAAAAACAAACTGAAGCCGAAACCGGTTTGGCGCAGTGGATAGAGCGTTGGTCTGCGGACTGAAAGGTCCCAGGTTCGATTCCGGTCAAGGGCATGTACCTTGGTTGCGGGCACATCCCCAGTAGGGGGTGTGCAGGAGGCAGCTGGTCGATGTTTCTCTCTCATCGACGTTTCTAGCTCTCTATCTCTCTCCCTTCCTCTCTGTAAAAAAAAATAAAATATATTTAAAATAAAAACAAAAACTGAAGTTACATTGTTGCCAGAATTTTACTCAGCATTCCTGGCTAATTAAGTGTAAATTAAAAATTTAAAAGACAGATACATTTTGTCTGATTTTCAAAGGGCTTGATACTGTTACGCTTTTAGTGCTTAAGTGGATGTGTTTAACTTCAGAGAGGTAGTAAAGTATTGAAGTTACTGTTTCTTTTTAAAAAATTTTTATTGGTTTTTACAGAGAGGAAGGGAGAGAGAGTTAGAAACATCAATGAGAGAGAAACATAGATCAGCTGCCTCCTGTACACCTCCTACTGGGGATGTGCCCACAACCAAGGTACATGCCCTTGACCGGAATTGAACCTGAGACCCTGCAGTCCGCAGGCCCATGCTCTATCCACTGAGCGACACCGGTCAAAGCCTTACCTTTTCAAACATACCTGTGGAATGAGAAGGCAGCAGGGCGCTTCCCTTTACTAAAAGATTGCACATCAGACTCACGTGGTTGATGTGAGTTACAGGAATCCGTTGGCCACCGAGTCTGGGCTTCTAACCAGACTTCTTCCAGTGCGTGTCCGTGCTGCATGTGCGTGCGTCTGAGCTGTCCCCCTGAGCCCGAGCTGTCCCCCTGAGCCTGAGCTGCCCCCCTGAGTCCGAGCTGTCCCCCGGAGGCCCGAGCTGTCCCCCGGGGGCCCGAGCTGCCCCCCAGAGGCCGAGCTGCCCCCCTGAGCCCGAGCTGCCCCCCTGAGCCCGAGCTGTCCCCCGGAGGCCCGAGCTGCCCCCCAGAGGCCGAGCTGCCCCCCTGAGCCCGAGCTGCCCCCCTGAGCCCGAGCTGCCCCCCGGAGGCCGAGCTGTCCCCCTGAGCCCGAGCTGTCCCCCGGAGGCCCGAGCTGTCCCCTGGAGGCCGAGCTGTCCCCCGGAGGCCCGAGCTGTCCCCCGGAGGCCCGAGCTGTCCCCCTGAGCCCGAGCTGTCCCCCGGAGGCCCGAGCTGTCCCCTGGAGGCCCGAGCTGTCCCCCTGAGGCCCGAGCTGTCCCCCTGAGCCCGAGCTGCCCCCCTGAGCCCGAGCTGCCCCCCTGAGCCCGAGCTGCCCCCCTGAGCCCGAGCTGTCCCCCGGAGGCCCGAGCTGCCCCCCGGAGGCCCGAGCTGCCCCCCTGAGCCCGAGCTGCCCCCCTGAGCCCGAGCTGTCCCCCTGAGCCCGAGCTGCCCCCCGGAGGCCGAGCTGCCCCCCGGAGCCCGAGCTGCCCCCCTGAGCCCGAGCTGTCCCCCTGAGCCCGAGCTGCCCCCGGAGGCCGAGCTGCCCCCCTGAGCCCGTGTGGCCAGGTGTGTCTTGTGGGGAGCAGACGTCTTCCTCGCGCTAAAACAGCCCCACCTTTCGCTCCCGGATCTCCTTGCAGCCGCTCGCCACAGGGCTTCTGCTCTCGGCCGCTTTCTGGGCTCTCCCTGTTAATCAGAACAGCAGGCTCCCTGTGCTCCTAGTTGGGTTGGGCTTGTTGATGTGCTTCTCCCTCATTGAGATGACCTGTCTGCCTGCTTCCCGTGCTCCCCGTGTCGTCAGCAACACGCTCCGAGCCCCCCCGAGGCTTCTCCGCGTCGCTCAGCTGCTGCTCTTGTCCAGGCCGTCACAGCCACTCTCCTTCCTGACCGTCGAGTGTGAGTCCAGACGGAGTGTCCTTTTCCTTGCTGCGTTGGGATTCCTCCTGTGGCCAGCAGGCCTTGTCCCCTGGACAGCACCTCTGTTCTGGTCTGGGCCCAGATTAGACTGTGAACAGTTTTATTTACAAGCCTAATGGGAGAAAGGACAGGAAGAACAGGCCCTTCACAAACACTTGACGTGTGTTACACACTGTACCAAACATGTGCATGCAGCATTATCCAGCTGTTCTAGTGTGTGGCTACCATGTGCCGGACACTACTCCACCATTGAGGATGATACCTAGTGACCTAAACAGTCTTTCCTTCATGAAACTGACATCATAATAAAAATAAACACAGACGTTATCGATAAATAAATGCGTACTATGTCAGAGGAGGGCAAGTACCTCGAAAAGGAGGAGGAAGTAGAGCAGATGGAGGGGGCGGAAGCCCACGGGGGAGCCGATGTGCTCTTTCAGGCTCTGGCGGCAGCGGCTGAGCCAGCCGTGTGGGCACTGGGGATGGATGGCCAGGCAGAAGGAAAGGCGGGTGCAGAGGCCATCGGGGCCAAGTGTGCCCGTGTGCCAGCCGCTGTTACAGCGGGTGCTGAGCGTGGGCGGAGGCTGGGAAACCAGACGGAGAGGACGGGGTGGGAGGATCAGGTCTCGTGGGGTCTGGCAGGCCCTGGTGAGGGACTGGCCGACGTGGGCTGAGATGGCGGGATGGCAGGGTGTGCGCAGTCACATGCTCCGCCCGTCCTCGTGCTGCCGTGCTGGCCTGTGGCTGGTTGTGGGCAGCAGGGTGAGTCGGGAGAAGTGGCACCAGGTAGGCTTTCCTTTGCCAGCACAGACGCCGAGAACAGGATGAAGTGGGGTTTTGACGAAGTCACGTGGTTGCAGTGCCTGGACCCAGTAGTGGTTCCTGTGCCCTGAATGTAAGACATCGTCCAGCCCTTCCCGCCACGGTGTGCTTTTTCCGCCGGGCCTCTGCAGTGTTGGTTCCTTCCAGCACGCCTCTGCTTAGCACTCACTTTGTCCGCCGGAGATGCAGGGTGGCGCGGTGGTGGTGCCAGGCGAGGGCAGTGCGTGCTGTGTGAGAGCGGCACAGGCTGCCTTCGGGGCCCTGCGGGCGGCGGTGTGTTTCCTGGCCGCTCTGGGGGGAGACAGTTGGTAGCAGTATGTAGCCCGTCTGCACATCAGTATGAGGGTCAGGAAAAAGACAGATTTGACTCTTGCAGGTAAAACCATGTTCCTGCTCCACAAACACTTTATTCTCTAGTCTTGACCTTTTCAGTGTAGTCTTGCCGGTACCTTCCTAGCTTTAAAAATATATTCAGGGCCTGGCTGGGGTGGCTCAGCGGATAGAGCATTTGCCTGTGGACTGGAAAGTCCCAGGCTTGATTCCAGCCAAGGGCACAGCCTGGGGTTGCGGGCTGGATCTCCAGTAGGGGCGTGCAGGAGGCAGCCGATCCATGGTTCTCATCATTGATATTTCTACCTCTCTCCCTCACCCTTCCTCTCTGAAATCAATGAGAACATATGTTTTTTAAAATAATAAAAATATGTTCAGCAGTAAGGAAGGTGCCCACTGCTCTAACTTGCTTGAGAGAAAGTGGACGTTACGAGGAGGGTCTTGGAGACAAGAGCTGCCCCCTGCCCCCGGCTGGTGTGGTCAGCGGGAGGAGGGCCGGAGGGGCTGGGCACGGACTGGGCACGGGCCGGACTCGATGAGATCTGAGGCCGAGTCCTCGGGAGAAGCGGGCCGAGCTTCTGACCCGCACTCGGCCAGGAGCCGGGAGCCGGGAACCGTGTCACCTGCTCGCTCGGGAGAAGCCGCCCTCTGAGTCGGGGGCCTTCCCAGAGCTGGCCACGGGGGGGGGGGGGGGGGGGGCGGTCTGAACGGAAGGAGCTCGTGTTGCGTCTGGGTTTGTGCTGAAAGCGTCTGTGCACGGACGGGCAGCTGCTTTCCTGGCGGCTGAAACAGACTGCAGCTCTGAGACCAAATGTTTCGAGAGCCTGGAGGGGGCCTGAGGCTGCAAAGGGAGAGGAGGTGGCATTTGCGGCGGGGAGACCAGCCCGGCACCTCCACCAGCAGGTCACCGGCTGCCGTCACCACGCACCGCAGGCCCGGCCCTGACTCTAGCAGACACCGCGGTGTCCGTGTCCGTGTCCGTGTCTGTGTCCGTGTCCGGGCTGACGCTCCTCCCTCCCTCCCTCCCCGCAGACGCTGCCCTGCGCCCCGCGCCCGCCCGCCCGGCCTCCGCCCAGCTCCCCTGCGGTGGCCCATGAGCTGCTCCCTCTGCCCCCGGCGCAGCGGGCCCCAACGCGATGTGTGTTTGTCAAACCATGGAAGTGGGGCAGTACTGCAAGAGCGCGGGCCTGGCCGGGGACCGCGGGGTGCTCCTGGAGCCCTTCATCCACCAGGTGGGCGGCCACAGCAGCATGATGCGCTACGACGACCACACGGTGTGCAAGCCGCTCATCTCCCGCGAGCAGCGCTTCTACGAGTCCCTCCCGCCCGAGATGAAGGAGTTCACCCCCGAGTACAAGGGTGAGCGGGCCGGCTCCGCGGCCTCCTGCCGCCGGGCGGGGCGGGGGGGGGGGCCGGGCCTCCGCATGGAGCAGATCCGACCCAGAGCACCGTCTGTAGGTGTCTGGGCTCACCGAGGGCTGGGGGCCCCTCCCTGGCCCGGAGGAGGGAGGGGTGCTTCCCGGTGCGGCAGGGAGGCGCGGGCCCTGCCTGTCTGCTGCCGAGCGCACTGAGGACTCAAACCCACTTCTGGCCCCTTCTGGGGGGAGCCAGCCAGGCCTGGGAGACTAGAGAGGATTGTAGACAGGATGTTGTCACCAGCAGGGGCTCAGGGTGTTGACCTATGAACCAGGAAGTTGCATTTCAATTCCTGGTCAGGGCACCTGCCTGGGTGGTGGGCTCCATCCGAAGGCAGAGGCCGGGGGCTGGGAGGGATTTGCAGGAGGCAGCTGATCAGTGATAATCTCTCATCATCGATATTCTAGCTCTCAACCCCCTCCCTCCCTCTCTGAAATCAATAAAAGTTATATTTTTAAAAATAAAACAAGTCTGTAGAGGGTAGATGATGGGTGCAGGTGTCACCGAGGGGCACCTCTCTGAGGGGCACGGAATAAGAGCAACCCCGGCCGGGAGGAGCGCCGGGGGCGGCTGGAAGCTGGCTCTGGAGAGACGGCGCCGCCGGTCCCGCTGGCCGAGGCTTAGGCAGGGCGGGTGTGCCGAGCGCCGCGCCAGCCGTCGGTGCGGCCTTGGTTGACGGGCTGCCTGTTTCCAACAGGGGTGGTGTCCGTCTGCTTTGAGGGGGACAGTGACGGTTACATCAACTTAGTGGCCTACCCCTACGTGGAGAGCGAGGTGGTGGAGCAGGACGACACGCCGGAGCGGGAACAGCCGCGGCGCAAGCACTCCCGCCGCAGCCTGCACCGGTCCGGCAGCGGCAGCGACCACAGGGAGGAGAAGGCCGGCCTGCCCTTCGAGGCCACCGAGAGGTAGGGCGGCCGCGCCCGCTCGGCGGCAGGGCCGGGGGGCGGTGGCTGTGGGTCTTGGGCCACCACGTGGGGCGACCTGTCCCGGGTGACTCATCGGGAGACTCGGAGGAGCCGCCTGGGGGCAGAGGCAGCTTTGTGGCTCTGAAAGGGGATCGCAGAAAGGCACCGCCAGTGGCCTCGGCTGTGCCCCCAGGAAGAAAGGGGCTTTCGTCACTGAGGGGCTGGCGGGCTCCCCGCTTTGGTTAAAGGACCAGATCTGTGCCGGCGCCACCCTGTTGGGGTCGTCAGCGGCTCAGGAGAGAACAGTGACACTGACATCGCCGTAGCCTCTGCTGCCACCACGCTCTGCCATTGCCAGGACGGCCTCTGGCTGCCCCGCCTGGCTCTGCCCGCGCGGTCACTCCCAGCAAAGCCTGTGTGAGGCTGTGGTCACCGGTTATGTGCGCCTGCCTGCCTGGAGGAAGGGCAGTGACACTGTGTCTGCTCTCCCTCAGCTCCCAGGAGGCCAAGAGCCCGAAGGCGGAGCTGCACTGCCACTCGGACGTCCCTTTCCAGATGCTGGACGGCAACAGCGGCCTGAGCTCCGAGAAGATCAGCCACAACCCCTGGAGCCTGCGCTGCCACAAGCAGCAGCTGAGCCGCATGCGCTCCGAGTCCAAGGACCGGAAGCTCTACAGTATCCTTGTGCCGCTGCCCTCAGGCCACGGCCAGACCTCCTGCTGGGCTCCCGTCCCCCTCGCGCCCATGGCCGCCGCCGCCGCCTCACTGCAGAGCACACTGCCTTCTGCTCCGGGGCTGGGAAGACCGAACCTCCACTTCCTCCCTGGAGCACTGAGCAGCGCCTGGGGGTGAGGGCAGGTGCGCAGACGGACGGCGGGGTTAGCTGGCGATGTGGGCAGAGACGACAGGCGCCCAGGCCCAGCGCCGGGTGCAGAAGGCCTGGGAGCACCAAGGGTGCGTTTTATGTGCACAGCCCGCGGCTTTGAGGTTCAGTCAGAAAACGCCTGAGAGCTTTAACCCCCTTCTTCCCGGGCTCCTGCTGGGAGTGTGAGCCGGTTTCTCACCTCTCTGGTGGTGCCGCGACCGGTCTCCTTAGGTCTCAGGCCCCTCCAGGCCCTGGCGGCCCGGTGGGGTGCGGCTGGCTTCCTGGGGGTGCAGGGGTGTGTGAGCCTGCAGAGTCCCCGTTAGCTGTGTGTGCCTGTGAGCCACATCCACAGATGAGAAACGGTGGCTTTGGTGGGTGTTCCTCCCGAAAAGGAGTGGCGTGGTGTGACGCTGCAAAACGGAGGCGCATTGAAGACCTTTTGCTAAGTGGCAGCCAGACACGGGCCGGGGGCTGTGACTCCACATGGGGGACCTGGGGCAGGCAGGCCGGAGGCCAGGGGGTAGTGGGACCAGGGCTGGGGGGGTAGGGGGGAGTGACGGTGCCGCTGCTTCTGGGTGCGGTCTGGGAGGTGGTGGAAGCGGCCGGCACAGTAACGTGACTGCTGAAGGCCCCTGAGCGCACTCCTAAAATACAGCAGCCAATGGTATTGCCTGTGCATTGCACCAGTGCCATTTTTATCTTTTTTGTTGTTGTTGTTAATCCACCCCAGGATATTGCTCCCAGTGATGTTGAGAGTGTGGAAGGGAGGGAAGCGGGGGGTGGGGGTGGGGGGAGAGATCAATTGGTTACCTCCCACATGCACCCCTGCTGTGGCCGGGAATCGAACCTGTGGCCCAGGGCCTTGCCCTTGATCAGGAATCAATCCTGAGAGCCTTTGGTGTGCGGGCCACGCTCTGCCACGGAGCCACACTGGCCAGGGCGTGAGCTGTTGGGTGAGAGAGAAGCCGGTGCTGTGGAGCCCCGTGAGCTGGGAGGTGCCTGCGGCTGTGTGGTTCCCTTGACCTTGCGCAGAGTTCCTGCTGCTGGAGAACGTGGTGCACCACTTCAAGTGCCCGTGCGTGCTGGACCTGAAGATGGGCACCCGGCAGCACGGCGACGACGCGTCCGCCGAGAAGGCTGCCCGGCAGATGCGCAAGTGCGAGCAGAGCACGTCGGCCACGCTGGGCGTCAGGGTCTGTGGCATGCAGGTGAGAGCCAGGCGCCGCTGCCAGCCGCCGGGGCCCCTGCCCGCCGCTCCCCAGGCCAGCGCCCGGCCAGAGGGTGAGCCCGGTGCTGAGCGCCTCCGTGTGCATGTTCCCCGGCCTCTGTCCGTGTCTGTGACTGGTCCGGGCTCCCGGTACCGGCTGCCGGGAGAGCCTGTTGCCGTGACACTGGGGCAAGTAAGACTTGTCGGTCAGAGGCTCCCAGTGGGAGTCCAGCTGGTCGCAGGGCGGCTGGAAAAGGACGTCAGTGATGGCGGAGGACTCGCAGGCCGGCGCCTCCCGCCGTCCTGCGGGAGCCTTCGGGCGCACTGGCCCCGCCTCCGTGCGGGGTTAGCGGAAAAGCTCAGCGTGGTCAGTGCTTCCCAGACGGCGCCTGCCCGGGGCACCGAGGCCACAGACGCCCTGGCACTCACGCTTGTCTGTCTCCGGGGTTTCAGGTGTACCAGCTGGACACGGGGCATTACCTCTGCAGGAACAAGTACTATGGCCGGGGGCTCTCCATCGAAGGCTTCCGCAACGCCCTCTACCAGTACCTGCACAACGGCCTGGACCTGCGGCGCGACCTCTTCGAGCCCATCCTGAGCAAACTGCGGGGCCTGAAGGCCGTGCTGGAGCGGCAGGCCTCCTACCGCTTCTACTCCAGTTCCCTGCTCGTCATCTACGACGGCAAGGAGTGCTGGCCCGAGGCCGGCCTGGACCGCCGCGCCGAGATGCGTCTCAAGAGCCTGGACCCGGGGCCGCCCGAGGTGGGGCCACCCTGCTGCCCTAGCACCAGCCCGGGCAGCCCCAGCAGCACCAGCCTGGAGAGCGTGTCCTCCCCCAAGGTGGACGTCCGCATGATCGACTTTGCACACAGCACATTCAAGGGCTTCCGGGACGACCCCACCGTGCACGACGGGCCCGACCGAGGCTACGTGTTCGGCCTGGAGAACCTCATCAGCATCATGGAGCAGATGCGGGACGAGAACCAGTAGGCCCGCGCGGGCCCAGACCCCTCCCTCTCCACCCGCAGGCAGGGACCATTGATCTGAACTCGCCGTGAGGACACACAGACTTGCTTTTAAAGGGTTATATTTCTCTTGGGTATAAACTAAAAGAAATGTTTTTAGCTGTAGCCTGGCATCCATATATATAACCTAGAGGAGAGCAGAGCACACGTCCTCAGCCAGGCTCGGCTGCTCCGTCTGCTGTGTCCAGGCTGATGCAGTGGAGGGGCCCCGGGGGGGCTGGCCGCAGGAACAGGGTGCCCCGGACATCGGTTTCTCTTGCCGAGGTTTTTGGGGCCTGTCGCTGCAGGGCCCTGCTAATTGTGGGGTGAAGCCCGGGGCTCATGCAGGGTCCCTCCATGCCCATTCACCCTTCGTAGAGAGATTGGGTGCCCATTTCCAGGGGCACGTACCCTAGTGTTATGGGTGTTGGCCGCTCTGACTGACACTCCCAGGGCACTACAAGGCCAGCTGTGCACAGCTGGGCCCTCCATTCTGGTCTTGGCAGAGGTTGGATTCAGAATCTGGGCTGAAGCCGGCTGGGGGCTGAGGGCTGAGGCCTGAGGGCTGGCCCTGGGATTCCCAGGCGCTCTGGCACTTGGACCTGCTGCTCTCCCTGCCTGCACACCCCAGCCAGCCTTTCTCACCCAGATCCCTGCCTAAGGAGGGCCCCCTTGTCCCGCTGAAGGGGGGCCTGCTCCATCTGGCGAAGAGCCTGCTGTCTGTCCCACCAGGCCTCGGGCCTCTGGCGGCTCTAGCTAAGGCGGTGTCCGCAGTTCTCGTGCTGTGGGCGGCAGTCCCTCTGGCGTGGGCAGCTGTGCTGCTCTGGATGGGCTGCCGCTCGCAGGCTCGGGCTGTGGTCCCTCCGGTGAGGAGCTCCGCTTGGGAGGAGCTGTGAGCTGGCCTCCCGGACACGGCCTGTCCCCGGTGCAGGGCCCAGGCTCTGCTGGAGAGCTGCGTCTTCTCAGTCCTGGAGTCCATCAGCCTGACCATTTGTCCATCTGCCAGCTCCAGTCTTGGGGTCCTCCCCTGGGGTTAGCCTTGTTCATTAGTGAGAACTGATGTCCTTCATGCTTTCCTCAGCAAAGGATCTTGCTCCCATTTCTGAGGCGAGCTTTGCCCCGTGCCCTTCGGCGGGTGCTGCCTTTTTACGAAGAACGGGGAGTAGAATGCATTGTGGGAGGCGTCCCCTGCTGGCCCAGCGCCCTCTCTGGTCTGGAGTGTGGCCCTCCACACGCAGCACTGACAGGGCAGGGCTGGCCAGGAGGACCCTCCCTCCCCACGTGGTGGTTCTCTTGCTTGTGGCCAGGAGGTGACCCTGCACTCCCCTAACCATTGCCAAGGTCAGTGACCTCCCCTCGGAGCCCAGAGCCACTGCCACGGTCCCTCTGGGCATTAAAGGTAAGCTTGCTAGCCCGTGTCCGAGAGGCCGTGGTAGCTGAGGGTAGTTTCCCGGCCTCGATGCAGCCTCAGCATCTCAAAACGGGCTCCTTGATGGGCCCATTGCTCTCTGCCTCGGACGCCGCTGCCCGTGTCGGCAGGTCCCCATTCCTGGGGCCTGGGAGGGACAGCTTGCTCGTTCTGGTCCTGGTCGGTAACGACCGCCTTCGCTCCTGTACCTCCTGTGGCTTCCGCCATCAGGCAGCAGCTCTTCATAGCGCAACCCGCCCTTCCCAGGGCAGAGGCGGAGACGGGGCCCCGGTAATTGGACTGAGCCTGTCCAGCCTGGAGCTGTGCTGTGCTTCCCGAGGCCTGTATTTGGGGAGCAGATGTACCTTCTCATAGTGTCTTCCTGGCACTAAGAGCAGGGGCCTGGGATTTGCTGCTTCTCCCCCAGGGGGGTCCCCTCTTTTCAGCACTTTTGACACTTGGAGACCCAGCCCTGTTACCGGGCAGGTGGTGGGCATGTGTGCTCGCTCACCCCTTTCCCACTGCTCTGCCAGCGCCCTCTGCCCTCCGGGCCCTGCCTTCCCAGCCCCAACTCGGGACCAAAGTGAACCGTGGCATCACGGTTGGAGCACTGAGTGACCCTTGTCCATAGCGCTTCCTTAGGCCCAGTGACACCAGCCCCCGGGGGTTGGTGGTGCTTAAAAGAGGAAGGGACCAGCACAGCCATTAGCCAGGGACCCACCCCTCCCATCGGGGCCTGTGCGGGGCGTGGGGACTCCTAAGGGGCCAAAGGCCTGGGCTAGTTCACAGCCGCTGCTCACTTGCTCACACCTGGCCACGTGCACGCCCCTAGATTCAGATTGCTTTGAGCTTCAGTGCTTTTCAACTTGGTTTTCTTTGTGCCGATTTGAAAGTGGTTTAATGAGGAAAAAACTGGGAGGACCCTGGGAGGATCCTTTGCTTCTCCCAGAACTGTAAGGCGCTGCCGAGGAATCGCTTCTCGCTCCACTTTCCCGTCCCCGCCGCCCGAGGCCAGGCCGGGATACTCGTGGCCATGTCGGCGCAGCGGCGTGTGTTGGAGGCGCTGCGTGCGGGGAGGGTGCCTAGACCCTGGCCGAGCTGCTCCTTCCCGCCCGCCCGCTGCCGCCCGCTTGTCAGGTTGTGTCTGTCCAATAAAGCCGCTAAAACTCAGCGTGTCCGCGTCTCTGTCACCGCGGCTCCGGAAGCCAGGCGGCCCGCCCGCCCCGCGGCCCGTTCCTCCTCCCCGGCAGGACCGCGGACGCCGCAGGCCGCCTCGCCTTGGCGCCAGTTCCGCCTTTGGATCCGCCAATGGCCAGCTGACCCGCGGGCCCAATCGCGGTCCCCATAGCAACCGGGCGCGCTCGGGCTCTCATTGGCTACGTCCTCCAGAGCTGCGCCCCGGCGCCTCGACGCCGGCGTCCGTGCCACGTACGCGGCAGCTGATTGGCCCGCCCGCGCTCACGTCACCGCCGCCCGGGCCGGCGAGGTTGGGGCCGCGGCCGTCCAGTCCGCGTCGCATCCGGGTTTGCGGGGCGGGAATACGGCGTCGGGGGTCCCGGGCGGACAGGACAGCGCCAGTGGGTCGGCCCGGCGGCTGGAGGGAGTGACAGGGGTCGGCCAGGCGACCACGGTGCCCGGAGCGCGGCCTCGGCCTCCGGCCGCCCTTCCGCCGGCGCCATGAAGGCACTGATCCTGGTGGGCGGCTACGGGACGCGCCTGCGGCCGCTGACGCTCAGCACCCCGAAGCCGCTGGTGGACTTCTGCAACAAGCCCATCCTGCTGCACCAGGTGGAGGCGCTGGCCGCGGTGAGGCCCGGGCGGGGAGCACGGCGGGGCGGACGGCCGCGGGCGAGCGGGCCGGGGGCGCCCGCGCCGCCGGCTCAGCGCCCGGGCGCCGCTGCGGTTCTGCCCACAGGCCGGCGTGGACCACGTGATTCTGGCCGTGAGCTACATGTCCCAGGTGCTGGAGAAGGAGATGAAGGCGCAGGAGCAGCGGGTGAGGCTCGATCCACTCTTGCCCTTCCGTCCGTCCCCGCTCCGCCTCCCTCGGGGAGGACCCTGACCCGGCTTCTCCCTTCCAGCTCGGCATCAGAATCTCCATGTCCCACGAAGAGGAGCCTCTGGGCACCGGTCAGTGACGGGGGAGCCCTTGTGGAGAGGCTCAGGGCTGGGAAAGGGGTAAGGCCCAGCCTGGATGCTGGGCTCCGGCCCCGGAAAACGGAGATCTGCTCCCGTCCCCCAGCTGGGCCCCTGGCGCTGGCCCGGGAGCTGCTGTCCGAGACCGCGGACCCTTTCTTCGTCCTCAACAGCGACGTGATCTGCGACTTCCCTTTCCAAGCCATGGTGCAGTTCCACCGGCACCACGGCCGGGAGGGCTCCATTGTGGTAAGGACCAGGCCTGACCTCCCGCCTCCCGGCCCGCCTTGACCTGCCCAGCCTTGTGAGCGCGGAGCGGGGCAGCCTCTAAGCCCTGGGGCACAGCCCACGCCCAGGGGAGGACACGGCCGGGCCTGACCCCCCTGCACGCAGGTGACCAAAGTGGAGGAGCCCTCCAAGTACGGCGTGGTGGTGTGCGAGGCCGACACCGGCCACATCCACCGGTTCGTGGAGAAGCCGCAGGTGTTTGTGTCCAACAAGATCAACGCGGGCATGTACATCCTGAGCCCCGCCGTGCTGCGGCGCATCCAGGTGCGTGGGGCGCCGCGGCCCGGGAGGCCGGCCGCGCCCCGCCCCTGCTCACACGCTCCCCCCACAGCTGCGGCCCACGTCCATTGAGAAGGAGGTCTTCCCGGTGATGGCCGAGGAGGGGCAGCTGTTCGCCATGGAGCTGCAGGGTGAGGCAGGAGGCCCGGGGCGGGGGGCCGGGGGCCGGGGCGGGGCTGAGCCTGACGCACTCCCGCCCTCCAGGCTTCTGGATGGACATCGGACAGCCCAAGGACTTCCTCACCGGCATGTGCCTCTTCCTGCAGTCGCTGCGGCAGAAGCAGCCTGAGCAGCTGTGCTCGGGCCCCGGCATCGTGGGCAACGTGCTGGTGGTGAGCCCGGGTCCCGCCCACCGCTCACCCCTCACCCCTCGGCCTCGGGGACAAGTGCCCCACGCGTGCTTCCCCCCCCGCCCCGCCCTAGGACCCGAGCGCCCGCATTGGCCAGAACTGCAGCATCGGCCCCAACGTGAGCCTGGGCCCCGGCGTGGTGGTGGAGGACGGCGTGTGCATCCGGCGCTGCACGGTGCTGCGGGACGCCCACATCCGCTCCCACTCCTGGCTCGAGTCCTGCATCGTGGGCTGGCGCTGCCGCGTGGGCCAGTGGGTGAGCGGCCGGGCTAGGCCACCGGGGGGCGGGGGGCCGGGGCCGCGGCCTCCCTGACCGGCTGCCTCCCCAGGTCCGAATGGAGAACGTGACGGTGCTGGGGGAGGACGTCATCGTTAACGACGAGCTCTACCTCAACGGGGCCAGCGTGCTGCCCCACAAGTCCATTGGCGACTCGGTGCCGGAACCTCGGATCATCATGTGACGGGCTGGCTGAGCCCCGGGATCGGCCAGGGGGACACCGGCCTGAGCGTCACAGGCCCCGGACTCACTACCGTGTCTGGGAGCTGGACAAGGCGGAAGCAGCTGGACACCTGCTTCTGTGGACAGTCGGGCGGGGTCCTGGTGGGTCCCCCCAGCCCACCCCCCAAGAAGCCGGGCGGGCTGTTGAATAATAATTTAATGGTCACGTGGCCCTGACTGCAGTCGAGCGCAGGCACAGTGCGGGCTGGGCTCCCACCACGGGGCACGCAGGGTGGGGCGGGCTGGCATGAGCAGCTCACACAGGGCCAGCTGGGTGTGGACCCAGACTAGGCGGCCGAGGAGGTGGCGCCCCCGCCGCTGGCCTTGCAGTCCTCCACCGCTGTGATGGTGGCTTTGCAGAAGAAGCAGTCCTTGTTGTTCATCAGGTGCTGGTTGATGCAGGCTCTGCAAGGGGAGGGTGAGGGCCGTGTCCCGCTACCCCGGCCCCGCCCGCCTCCTGCCCAGGGGCGGGGGGCCGTGCACTTACTTGCAGGACTTGTGGCCACAGGGCTGGAACACGGCCGAGATGGGGTGCGCGTAGCAGATGGGGCAGAGGTCCTCCTCGCTGGTGGGCTGCGGGAGCACAGGGCACGGTGGGCACAGGCCTCGGTGCAGCCCCGCCTCAGGCGCCGGCTGGCCCGGGGCCCACTCACCAGGGAGGCCGCTGCGGCCTGGGCAGACGCAGCCGTCAGGTGCGCCAGCATCTGCTCCACCTGGGCCAGCTCCTCGCTGCTGATGTAGTCCGTGTCTGGGCGGGTGACAAGTGTCAGGCCCACTGGGTCCCGGGACCCAGGGCCTCCTGACACCCCAGCCTGGGCAGTGAGGTTCCCGCTCTGCCCACCCAGCCCCCAGGCCGCTGCCCTGCACTCACAGCTCTGGAGGGAGAAGCGCTTCCGGTCAGGGGCGGGCAGGGCCGAGCCGGGGGCGGGGGGCTCCGCGTGCCCCAGCAGGTAGCGGATGGAGCGGAGCTGGAAGCAGGGGTCCGCCAGGAGCACCGCCGTGGCTTTCTCCCTCCTGGGCGGGAGGGTGCAGGGGGCCAGGCTGGAGGAGCTGGAGCGGGTGGGTGGCCATCCAGCCCGCCCCATACATACCGGCTTCTCCCCATCAAAGGCCCCGGTGCCCTGTAAGGGCTCAGGGCGCCGCCGGCAGGCAGTGCCGGTCCCTGTACTCGCGGGCCTTTCAGAGGCCGCCGGGCCCCGCCCCGCCCTGCGGAGAGCCGGCCCCGCCCCCTCGGCAGCAGCCAATGGGAGCCCGAGCCCCGCCCCTGGGCGGCCCTCCCGGGAGTACTTAGGCCGAGTGCCGGGGCAGCAGCAGCCGGGAACCCAGGAGGCGCCGATCCCAGGAGGCACCGAGGAGCGCGGCCGGGCCGCTGTGCGGGCAGTTCCCTCCCGCCTCCCGGGCCGCCGGCGGAGCAGAGCGGGGAGTCCCGGGCCGCGCCCCGCCATGGCCGGGCAGGCGGTGCTGGGCGCCCTGCTGTGCGCGCTGCGCGCCGGCGCGGGCAGCCCGGACCCCGAGGGCGCCTGGCCCGCGGCGCCCCTGCGCTGTCCGGGCAGCTGCGTCTGCGCCGCCGACCTGCTGAGCTGCGCGGGCCTCGGGCTGCAGGACGCGCCGGCGGAGCTCCCGGCGGCGGCCGCCGACATCGACCTGAGCCACAACGCGCTGCGGCGCCTGCGGCCCGGCTGGCTCGCGCCCCTCGCCCGGCTGCGCGCCCTGAGCCTGGGGCACAACCAGCTGGCAGCCCTGGGGCGCGGCGCCTTCGCCAACGCCAGCGGCCTGCGGCGGCTCGACCTGTCCTCCAACGCGCTGCGGGCGCTCGGCCGCCACGACCTGGGCGGGCTGGGCGCGCTGGAGACGCTGCTGCTGTTCGACAACCGCCTGGCGCACCTGGACCCGCTGGCCTTCCGGGGCCTGGGCGCGCTCCGCCGCCTCTACCTGGGCTGCAACGAGCTGGCCGCCTTCTCCTTCGAAAGTCTGCACGGCCTCAGCGCCAGCCGCCTCCGCACGCTGGACCTCTCCTCCAACCGCCTGGCCCGCGCCCCCGTGCCCGCCCTGGCCGCGCTGCCCGCCTTCCTCAAGGACGGCCTCTACCTGCACGACAACCCGCTGCCCTGCGACTGCCGCCTCCTCCGCCTGCTGCAGCGCTGGCGCCAGCGCGGGCTCAGCGCCGTGAGCGACTTCGCCCGCGAGTACACGTGCCTGGCCTTCCGGGTGCCCAGCTCCCGCGTGCGCCTCTTCGCGCACAGCCGCGCCTTCGAGAACTGCTCCGAGCCCCCGGGCGGCCTGGAGCGGCCGGAGCAGCAGCGGGAGGTGCAGGTGGGCGCGCGCCTGACGCTGCACTGCAACGCCAGCGCCCCCGCCCGGCGCGCGGCCTGGGTCTCCCCGCAGGGGGAGCTGCTGGTGCCGCCCGGGGCCCCCGACGGCAGCATCGAGGTGCTGGCCAACGGCACCCTGGTCATCGCGAGCGCGCAGACGTGGCACGAGGGCATCTTTGTGTGCCTGGCCACCGGGCCCGGCCTGCAGCACAACCAGACGCACGAGTTCAACGTGAGCGTGCACTACCCGCAGCCGGCGCCCGAGGCCTTCAACACGGGCTACACCACGCTGCTGGGCTGCGTGGTGGGCCTGGTGCTGGTGCTGCTCTATCTGTTCGCCCCGCCCTGCCCCGGCTGCCGCCGCTGCTCCCGGCGCGCCTGCTGCGGCTGCCGCGGGCCCCGCGCCCCCAGCCCGCTGCAGCAGCTGAGCGCGCAGTCCTCCGTGCTCAGCGCCACGCCGCCCGACGCCCCCAGCCGCAAGGCCAGCGTGCACAAGCACGTGGTGTTCCTGGAGCCGGGCCCCAGGGGCCTCGGCCGCGTGCAGCTGGCGGTGGCCGAGGACTTTGATCTCTACAACCCCATGGGGCTGCGGTTCAAGGTCGGCTCCGAGTCCGCGAGCTCCACGGGCTCCGAGGGGCTGTGATGCCCTGGCCGCCCGGCCCCGCCTGCCGCCTGCCCCTCCCTGCTGCCCGGAGAGCCTGGCCTGGAGCGGGCGGTGGGGGAGGGTGCGGGTGGGCGGGTGACCTGGCCCATCTCCAGGCGGAAGAGGAAGCACTCTCCTCCGGTGACAGGCCCCGCGCACCGACGTCTGACCTTCCCCAGCGGCCTCTCCTGTGGCCAGGGCATCACAGGCTGCGGCAGCCTCTCCAGCTCAGCAGGCACGGAGGCGGAGCAGAGGGCGGGCGCACTGCAGGCCCTGGAGGCGCAGCTCTGCTTCATCTAATGGCCAGGGGCAGCCTCGCCCTCCCTCAGGGCAGGGCAGCTGGGGACCTGGGGAGCGAGCAGAGCTGGGGCCGCTCGGGGCCTGGATCGGATCGTCACCAGTTTCCTAATAAAGCAGGACCCCGCGGAGCCCCCAGACACGTGTGCTCAGTCTGTCCCGGCAGCGCCGTCCGACATCACAGGTGCCCCGGCCCTGCCTGAGGCTCTGATGTGGGGTCCCTGCTTCTACTCAGGCATTGCAGCCCTCAGCCGTTGTACCCCAAACCTAAGGCCCATCTCCGAGACAAGGAAGCAGAACTGCCAGGAGCCCAGCACAGCCCCAGGGCCCCACCCCCACTCACCCTGCACAGCCCCACGGGGCCCCCCACCCCACACTCACCCTGCACAGCCCCACGGGGCCCCCCACCCCCACACTCACCCTGCACAGCCCCACGGGGGCCCCCACCCCACACTCACCCTGCACAGCCCCACGGGGGCCCCCACCCCACACTCACCCTGCACAGCCCCAGGGCCCCACCCCCACTTACCCTGCCCAGCCCCATGGACCCCCACCCAACACTCACCCTGCACAGCCCCACGGGGTTCCCCACCCCACACTTGCCCTGCACAGCCCCACTGGGGCCCCCCCACTCACCCTGCACAGCCCCACGGGGGCCCCACCCCCACACTCTCCCTGCACAGCCCCACTGGGGACCCCCACCCTCACACCCTGCACAGCCCCACGGGGGACCCCACCCCCACTCACCCTGCACAGCCCCACGGGGCCCCCCACCCCACACCCTGCACAGCCCCACGGGGGACCCCACACTCACCCTGCACAGCCCCACGAACCCCCACCCCACACTCTCCCTGCACAGCCCCATGGGGCCCCACCCCCACTCTCCCTGCACAGCCCCACGGGGCCCCCCACCCCACACTTGCCCTGCACAGCCCCAGGGCCCCACCCCCACTCTCCCTGCACAGCCCCACGGGGCCCCTCACCCCACACTCGCCCTGCACAGCCCCAGGGCCCCACCCCCACTCTCCCTGCACAGCCCCACGGGGCCCCCCACCCCCACACTCACCCTGCACAGCCCCAGGGCCCCACCCCCACTCACCCTGCACAGCCCCACGGGGCCCCCCACCCCACACCCTGCACAGCCCCACGGGGCCCCCCACCCCCACACTCACCCTGCGGCAGGGCCGTGCACCAGGAGCCGCACCAGGATGCCCGTCACGGCCACCAGGATGGGGTAGTGGTCCACGCTCTCCAGGCCTGGGGAGGGGAGGGGTGAGCCGCCCATGCCGGGCGCCCAGCAGTACCCACCTCCCTCCCGCCGGGCCCCGAGGCTGGGTGCCGCGGCTTTCCGGGCCGAAGGGGGGCCCGGCGCTCACCGGGCAGCCACAGGGTGACCACGCGGTCGAAGAGGTTCCTCTCGGCCGTCACGCGGTTCAGCACCTGGTTCAGCAGCTGGGGAGCCGGCAGTGTTGGCGGCTGGGCTCCCAGCTCCTGGCCCCCAGGCCTCCCCCGCCCGGCCCCCGGCCCCGCCCGGCGGACCACCTGGGCGAGCCGCTGCAGCAGCATCTCGGCCGTGGGCTGGGCCGTGGCCAGGAAGGCCTCGGGCACCAGGGTCACGGTCATCTCCAGGACGCGCAGCAGGCTGACCGACAGGTCGAAGCAGGTGGCGCACACCTTGAGCTGCCGCGTGTCCACGAAGTTCCGCTCCAGGCGCTCCACGGCCTGCTGGATCTGAGCGCCGGGGTCAGCGGGCGGGGGTCAGCGGGCGGGGGTCAGCGGGGTCAGGGGTCAGCGGGCAGGGGTCAGCGGGCCGGGGTCAGCGGGGTCGGGGGTCAGCGGGCCGGGGGTCAGCGGGGCCGGGGGTCAGCGGGGCCGGGGGTCAGCGGGGTCAGGGGTCAGCGGGCAGGGGTCAGCGGGCCGGGGTCAGCGGGGTCAGGGGTCAGCGGGCCGGGGTCAGCGGGCCGGGGGTCAGCGGGCCGGGGGTCAGCGGGGCCGGGGGTCAGCGGAGTCAGGGGTCAGCGGGCCGGGGGTCAGCGGGCCGGGGGTCAGCGGGGTCAGGGGTCAGCGGGCCGGGGGTCAGCGGGGCCGGGGGTCAGCGGGCCGGGGGTCAGCGGGCCGGGGGTCAGCAGGCCGGGGTCAGCGGGCCGGGGGTCAGCGGGGTCAGGGGTCAGCGGGCCGGGGTCAGCGGGCCGGGGGTCAGCGGGCCGGGGGTCAGCAGGCCGGGGTCAGCGGGCCGGGGGTCAGCGGGGTCAGGGGTCAGCGGGGTCAGGGGTCAGCGAGCCGGGGGTCAGCGCCGGCTCCCACCCGCACGCCCGGGCCCACCTCCTGGATCATGCCGATGAACTCGGAGAAGGCCCAGTTGAGCTGGTTGAGGACGCTGTTGAGGAAGCTGGGCGCCACATCGGGGTCCTGGCGCAGCAGGTCCGCCATGTGCTGCTGCAGCAGGAGGGAGGGGCAGGGCTCTGCGGCGGGGGGGGGGGGGGGGGGGGGGGGGCGGGGGGCAGTCAGGGCTGTGGGGCCGGAAGGCAGCCCGGGACGCTCAGGCCGAGAGGGCGAGGACAGACCCTCTGCGCAGCCGCCGGCCCGGCACGTCCTTGGCCGGGGCCGCAGGGAGAGCGAGGCCGGGCGGAAACCGGAGCCTCCTGCTGGGCCGAGGCCAGCTTCCTCAGGAGCCTCCGGCGCCCGGCCGCCCTCCGCCGCCCTTGGCCTGCCTGGCCGTGGCTGAGGGGGTGGGCACCAGGCCTGGGCGCCGGCCGGCAGGCCTCCCTCCCCAGCAGATCAATAGCCGCAGCCGCAGGCCCGAGGCCCCTGCCCTCCACGCAGCTCAATGCCACCCTCCGGGCGGCCAAGGCCACGGCAAGGGCTCCCCAAAGGCAGAGCCGCCGGTGGGCAGGGAGGGCCGCCGGGGAGAGCCAGGGGGTGCGCACAGCGCGACAGGCGGACAGGCCGGGCCCAGACGCCGGCTTTGCCAGACCAGGGCCCGGGCAGCACAGCGCCTGCGCCAACCAACGCCCCCTCCCCAGCAGCCCCAGCACCCGGGCCCGCCTGCCCGCCCGTCTGTGCCCTGGACGCGGGCATTCCGGCCGGTGGCAGAGCGGGCAGAAGGCAGGGGCAAGGTCAGGGAGCACCTGGAAGGCGGTCCCAGTGACTGACCCTCCGGCTTCAGGCCCACAGGCACCGGGGTGGGAGTGAGGACCAGGGGGAACGCCCCCGGGAGCCGTGGGCACTCACTCTGCAGGCTGGGCAGGTTGGCGTCCTCGGGTTTGACCTTCAGCAGGTGCGGCAGCCGTGTGTAGCGGTACCCGAACCCACAGCCCTGCGGCGGCGGGCGGGCGCGGGCGGTCAGTGTGCGGCCCTTCGCCGCGGCCCAGCCCGCCCCCTCCTGCCCCCGGCCCCTCACCTTCCAGAGCCGCACCAGGATCCAGTTGGTCTGCGCCCAGGGCCGCTGCTCGTAGGGAGCCAGGAGGCTCCTCACCATGGCGACGCGCCTGCGGGGGGAGGGGGCCCACAGGTGAGGCCCGGGGGCTGGGCGGGGGGTGGGGGCACAGGTGAGGCCCGGGGGCTGGGCGGGGGGGGCACAGGTGAGGCCCGGGGGCTGGGCGGGGGGGGCACAGGTGAGGCCCGGGGGCTGGGCGGGGGGTGGGGGCACAGGTGAGGCCCGGGGGGCTGGGCACAGGTGAGGCCTGGGGGCTGGGCGGGGGGTGGGGGCACAGGTGAGGCCCGGGGGCTGGGCGGGGGGGGGGCACAGGTGAGGCCCAGGGGCTGGGCGGGGGGGGCACAGGTGAGGCCCGGGGGCTGGGCGGGGGGGCACAGGTGAGGCCCGGGGGCTGGGCGGGGGGTGGGGGCACAGGTGAGGCCCGGGGGGCTGGGCACAGGTGAGGCCTGGGGGCTGGGCGGGGGGTGGGGGCACAGGTGAGGCCCGGGCGCTGGGCGGGGTGGGGGCACAGGTGAGGCCCGGGGGGCTGGGCACAGGTGAGGCCCGGGGGGGCTGGGCACAGGTGAGGCCCGGGGGCTGGGCGGGGGGGGGGGGCACAGGTGAGGCCCGGGGGCTGGGCGGGCGGGGACGGCTCCGCCCTCCCCGTCCCCCCGCCCCCCCCCCCCCCCCCCCCCCCCCACGCACTGCTCCTCGGGGATGCGCTCCACGGCCCGCAGCGAGTGAGGGTAGCAGACGTAGCTGGCCAGCGCCTGCATCAGCGAGTCCCGGATGTCTGTGGGGGGAGGGGCTCAGCGGGGCCTCGGGCCCTCCCGGCCACACCCATGCAGCAAACAGCCGGCCAGAGACACCCCCAACCCCACCTCACCCCTCATCCCCCCCCCACCCCCCATCCCACCCCACCCCCCACCCCATCCTCACCCCCCCCACCCCCCACCCCACCCCCCACCCCCCCACCCCCCCCCCACCCCCCGGAGCCTCTGCGGGCCCTCACCAGTGCCCACGATGCGTGTGTCGGCAAAGTGCTTGGCCAGGATGGCAGCCAGGCGGGTCAGGGTCTCCTCGTAGCCTGCAGGGGGACGGGGCAGGCTGAGGGCTGCAGAGCTGGCTCCCGGTGGGGCCTCCGGCTCAGCGACGGTGAAGGCTGAGGCCGGACTCGCGGTGGGATGGCTCCCGGCGGCGTGCTAGCCGAGCCCCCTCGATGCTCAGCCCTGAGCCCGGCACCTACAGCGCTGCCTGAGGAGGCTTCACCGGGTCCGAGGAGGGCAGCCCGCAGCCCAACCCAGACGTAGCCACCACCCCGCCGGGAACCATCTACGGCGACAGCGCCACACCCCGTGGCAGTGCCGGCGCTGGGGAGGCACCAGGAGGCAGTGAGAGCAGGATCCGTCTGGTGCCCCCGCCCCGCGCCAGCGAGGGGCTGCTGGGCTCGGGCGGCACAGGCCGGGCTCCGGCGCGGGGCGGGGGCAAATGCGGGTCCGAGCCGGTCGAGGAGCAGGAGTGCCCCGCCCGCCTCCCGCTGGGCCCACCCGGAGCTGCCCCAGCCCCCCACCCCCCGCCCCCCACCCTCCCGCTGGGCCCACCCGGAGCTGCCCCCCAGCCCCCCCCGCCCTCCTGCTGGGCCCACCCGGGAGCTGCCCCCCCCACCCTCCTGCTGGACCACCCGGAGCTGCCCCAGGCCCCCCCCCCCGCCAGGCCCACCCGGAGCTGCCCCCCCCCTCCTGCTGGGCCCACCCGGAGCTGCCTCCCCCCCCCGCCCTCCTGCTGGGCCCACCCGGAGCTGCCTCCCCACCCCCCCCACCCCCCCCCCCGCTGGGCTCACCCGGGAGCTGCCCCAGGCTGTGCACGGGCCCGAAGTAGTTCTTGAGGGCGCTGTAGCTGTTGATGGCCACGCTCAGGTAGAACTCGGGCAGGAAGGCGAAGAGCGAGCCCGTGCGGTCGCTGTGCTCGATGGTGCGCAGGCAGACGCGCAGCAGCCAGTAGATGTCCAGCATCTTCTCCTGCGGGGGCACGGCTGCTGGTGGCCTCCGGGCGCGCCCAGGCGGCCGGGCAGGCCGAGGCTCTCGGCCGAGGCGCCGTGGGGAGGCCTGCTTTCCCCACCGAGTGCCCAGCGCGTTCTAGAGGAATCGGCCCTAAGAGCCGCACGGAACCTCAAGGACACCAGCCGCCAAAGCCATCTGGACAGAACCAGCCGCCTCCCACGGAGCCCACTGCCTGTCCCTGCGTGCCAGAGCCGGTCGCCGCACGGCGACCTGGGAGACGGGCCGGGGGCGGACGGGCAGACTCTGCGACAGGAGCCAGCCGTGCGGCAGCGCCTCGAGCCGCTCACCCCAGAGCGGCCGATTCTGCTTCTGAGCACAACCCCGCCTCGAACCCACAGCGCCACGCCGCCAGGGACGGACAAGGTGGTGCAGACAACGCACCCCGGGCCGCTCGGCCTGGAGCTGGCCCGGCCCCCGTGCCGTGCGGGCAGCAGCCGGGGAGCCACGGCACAGACCAGCGCTGTGGCTCCGGAGGACGGGAGGATCTGGCTGCGCGCGGGGCGGGGGCGGGGCGGGGGCGTCAGTGGGTGAGTGTCAGGTTGGGAAGTAAACAGGCTCTGGAGGTCCATTCACACCGGTGAATGCGCTACCCCCGAGCTGGGCCCGAGGTGACCGAGGCGCTGAGGGGTCTGACGGCCGCTGTGAAGGTGACGGCACAGCTGGCCGGAAGCTCCGCGGAGGAGCGCCCGCCTACGAACCGGAGCCCTGACGGCTGCCTGCGGGGCACGTGCCGGGCTGCGGCTCAGCCCCGGGGGAGCAGAGGGAGCTCGCCTCCGTCCACCCTCAAAGCCGGCTCGGGGGCATGGCCTCGTCTGCCTCGCTCCGGAGGGTCCCTGGCGTCAGGGCGCACTGGACCCCGGCCCGGGTTGTCACTGATGGTGGAGCGTGAGCGAGCAGAGAGCAAGCCGGTGTCTGCGAGGAGCTGCCGCCGGGGTGCGGCTGGGAGGGGCCGGAGCCCGCGGGCCGGAGGGAGGCGCAGGGAGCAGGCAGGCGGAGACAGACGGCTCAGCTGCAGTGTCTGAGCTGGGGCCTGGGGGCTGAGGTTCCGGGACGCGCAGGGGGGGGGGGGGTAGGGAGTGTGTGTGCCGAGGCCCAGGCGGCAGGGGCACTGAGGCTGCCAGCCTGTGCCCAGGGGTGGAGGGCGGCGCTGCCGGCCCGCCCCGCTCACCTCGGAGTAGACAGTGGCGTGGACCCAGGCCAGGCGGCGGCTCAGGTGGTCCAACTTTTCCGAGAAAACTTTCTGGCTCTTGGTCAGCTCCTCCAGGATGTCCTTCCTCTGCCGAGGAGAAGGCGGTCAGGACCGGCCGCGCCCACAGCCTCGGGCCCCACGGTGGCCTGGGTGCAAAGGGTGACCCTCTGCCTGCCCCGGTGAGCCGGCAGGCCGCGGGCGGGCGGGCGCGCTGGGGGCTGGGCGCGGGGCTGGGCAGCCCGGGGCGCGATGGCCGCAGGCAGCTGGGCCGGCCCCGCCCGGCGGTGAGCCGCGGGAGCCCCAGGGAGCACGGCCCGGCGCTTCCTGCTGACGCTGCAAGTGCCCAGGAGCGCTCAGGCGGATCCATTATTGATGAGGACGGAGGGTGCGCAAGCACTTAGCGCGGGCGGGGCGCCTTGGCACAGCACGGCGGGCAATGGGCTCGGACCGGCCGGCCTGGTGCCAGCCCCTCGCTGACGGGCTCCAGTCCGGCTGGGCGGACGGGAAAACTGCTGAGCTCACCGCGCAGGCCGGGCGGTTTCCTCGGACCGACCTCGGACCCGCGCCCGCCCCGCCCGCCCCACGCCTCACCCGCTGGGGGCACCGGCGCAGCTTGTCCTCCGTGCTCCTCAGCGCCGCCGCGTACTCGGTGACGTCGTCCGACACCCCCACCATCTGGGGGCACAGCCACGGTG